TGAGGTAAGACAGGTATGGTTCTTCTTTTATAGTAGTGAACATCTCTATTCAAGAGGCATTCAAGAGAGTCATTTAGATTTCTAGAAAGACTAAACAACTAAACTGGAGCGAGTCGATGGAGATCTTTCCTTTTTTATCTTATCTACCAATTATTGAAAATGAGGTTTAAATTGTTGTGTGGTGATTGCATTCTTCATCGATTGTTACTTTTTTTAATCTTTTTGACTCGATAGAGGTTCCTATTAAAGATGGTGTAGATCTTTCTTTATAGATTGGTGTCAATAATACCTCTTATAAGGGCTTTAGCGATAATAGATTCCAACAAATCATCGATCCATAGCATTTCTTCATGAAATCAAAAGAGATAAGCTCGAGTATTCTTTTTCTTGTTTTAAACGATAGAGAATAAATCTCATAAGTTTTTTTAATAGGAATGCTAGTGGAGAAACGTGCTACTAACTTGAAGCATAGATCTTTAAAGTTAAGAACGCATTCAAGGTTTAAGTTATTATACCATTTTGCTAACCAACTTTCAAAAGGTGGTAAACAAGCATCTTGTATATGGCATTTGAATTTCGGATGATCGGTTCAAGGTTTCTTCGGACATTTTATACATGGTCTTGAGGGTTTTTTATGTTATCATAGATATCCAAGTTTATCTTTCCTATGGAAAATTCCTTTGGAAACTTAGCGCTCAATATATATGGGATGAGTGGAGAAGTTTGGAGCTTATGGCTGTAATGGTCGGGTTTTAGCAGGGCGATAGTTGTCGATTGCTTTTCCTCATATTAGTATTTAGGCTTGGGGCTTACCGTAGAGGTTTAAGACGATAATGAGCTATCTTTGCATCTATCCTTATGTCGATTATAGGTCGTGTAGTACCTACTCTCTGTGAGCTTGGATGATATATAGTTTTATCAAATTTTCTCTTTTCTTTTTAAGAAGCTCGGTTAACTAGCTCTTTGCTAGGATGACAACCCTTGTGGGGTTTTAAAGAGCACCGACATTCTTTTTTAGACTTCTTGTTCACCGTAACGAACCATCCCTCGTATACAAATTAAGAAAGTGGTTGCTCTTGGCGTGGCTGATTTGGTAGGCATGGATCCATTAATGGAAAGACAACTTTTAGGTCATACTAAAGCCTTTGTTAAGTTTATAGCATTGATGGTGGAATAGTTAGCAATTTTATCTACTCTTAGGTTAGTTAGTATATACAACTTAATGAGCAACTCAATACGTCGTTATAGCTACAAGACGTCGATCAAAAGTGGCACTAAGATTGGTGAAATCTACTACATAGGTCTTCAAAGAGTTTCTTGATTTTCGGCTATGGAAAAGCTTGGAAAAAGAAGAAGTAAAAAGATTCAAGGATTGGCTTTTTGCTTAGTTTCTCATAAACAATACCACCGATGAGGTCATAGATCTTTAATTGTATGAACAATTAGATTGACTTTTCCCTTAGTTGATCATGAGGAAATAGTGCATCGTTGGTTTAGATTTTTTATGTAGGTATGTGCTAAATAAAGTCCTCATCTTGGATTTTAGAAGATTCTCTAATGGCTAAGTTAGCGACGAAAGGAGGCAAATATAACCTTCTTAGGCTTACACACACATACATAGACGTGTGTGTGTGTGTGTGTGTGTATATATATATATATATACACAATGATTGTTTAGTTTGCTATTATTTTTTTAGCTATCTCTTGAGTTAACCATATGCCTTTACAATCCTACTTGCCTCTTTGGTTGCTTAACCCTTTTGAGTGTCTAGTGGTTTTTCCTCTTGTAGTGGATGCTAAAATTAACTTGTATGAAGCTTGAAAATGTATTTGCCTTTACATAATAAGGCTAAAATTGGTCTTACCCTTATTATGTGATGACTCCTTACTAGTTTGGTGATCCTCCTAGAAGAATGTCTTTTGTTGGTGTGGGTTATGTCATTTTAGGAGTTAACGTGTAAGGTAATGTTTTTCATTTAATACTTGTCCCTCGTATTTTTTTCTAGAGTGGGAGTAAGCTAGACCTGGAGGTGGATGGTGATGTAGGAGTCTCTCATTATGCGAGGTCCGTATACTCGTGATTGTAATAGATGAGTGCCATTGTTATGGCTAGATAAGGGATACGTGTTCGGCATTTTAACTCGAGTGTACTAAGTACAATAATTATCAAGCAAAAAGAAAAGGAAAATATAAGATTTAATGATAAAGATTACCCCCAAACTAATATGATTTATCAATTTGGATTAATTAAATCCTAAACTATTATTTTTTTGTCAAATATGATCCTTACCTATTATCTTTAATTGTTACTCTCTCTCTCTCTCTCTCTCTCTCTCTCTCTCTCTCTCTCTATATATATATATATATAATTTAGTCAAAATATGACGTACATAAAATTACATATTGGCTATTTATTAAGTTTTAGAATTAATAACACTAATAAAAAATAATTTGAACGTACGGATAATCAAATAAAAAAAAAGGTACAAGCCTTTGATTAGAAATAAAATATTCATGCTTATGTGATAGATATGACGAGCATGTTGATGTGTTAATTTAATGGTTATGTCGGTATAAATTTACCATAACTACTTGATTAAAAAAATTAAAAATTTACATTAACGATAATTTAATAATACTAGATTTAAATATTTATTTTATTTCTATCTAATCAATTTAATGGTTATGTCAACATGAATTTAATAAAAATAATTTATTAAAAAAATTTGTACTTTAATTCTTTTATTTAAATACATGTACTTTTATTTTTTTCTATTTGATTAATTGTACTGCAATTTTTTTAATGAGTGCTATTAATTTTGGAATTTAACAAATCACTACTATGTAATTTCATGTAGATTATATTTTGACTAAATTAATTAAATTTAATTACAAAAACTTAGGATGTTAATAGTAAAAAAAATTGACTATCAAAAGATAACGAATAACAATTATCTTTGTTAAAAAAATAATAATTTAGGATCTAATTAACCTAAATTAATAGTAAATACTCAAAATTGGCAAATCCTAATATTAAGAAGAGCGATAGATTAATCCTTATTCAATTCAAAGAAGCATTCGTTCTACTTGGCACGTGAGATGCATTCGTTGCCATTTTTCTTTTTCTTTTTTCTTTTTTTTTTTTTGTTAGTTTCTTTGGACAAAAAGAGGACCCATGTAGTAATAAAATAAAATAAAACTTGCGACGAATTCTTCGTAACGGTCGGCTATTAACAAATTTTGTAACTGGTGACTTTGGCGGCTACGTAATGAACGGAAAGGAAGGAACTCACAATTCTAAGTCAATCCAAATAAACAAATACTAATATACAATATATGAATAAACTACTATACTTATATATAAAAGTAAAAAAAAAATTCTTATTTTTGTTTTTAAAATCATTGACAAAAGAAAGATTTCATTTTCAATAGATAGATAAATATTCTTATTTTTAAATGAAAAATAAAAAACAAAAAACCTGATATAATTAACGATTAAACTCAAATTAAAATAATAGATTAAAACAAACTTTGAATGGATCGATAAATTGATTATAAAATATTAAACCTGATATAATTATCCATCAAACTCAAATTAAAATAATAAATCGAAACAAACTTTCAATCGATAGATAAATTGATTAAAAAATATTTTTATTTTTTAAATAAAAAAATTGTTATAATTGAAAATGAAACTCAATTAAAATAAGAGATTAAAACAAACTTTAAAGCCCACGACACATGATAATGAGAACGCAAATGCACCTCTCGTTGGAAAGGCATAAAGCATAAACTAAAATAAAAAACAAGTAAAAAAATATATAATTATAAGACTAAACAGAAAACAACAAAAAACAAAGACCCAGCATCGCAGAGAGAGTAAGCGAAAGAAAGATATTCTGTTCTGGTCTCTAGTTGATTTTTTATTTATTTTTTATTCAGAAGAAAGTGAATTCTGAAAAAAAAAAGAGAAACACAAAACAGAAAAATCCTCTCTCTTTCTCTTTATGATTATTATTATTATAGAGTAATAATATAATTCGGGTTTCATTCTCGTCTTCTCGCTGCATTCTACGGACAGGTACGCATCATTTCTTATATTCTCCCTTGCTTTTGATGATCTATCTATCTTAGGGTTTTCTTTTCTTTTATCTTTAATTCTTTACCATAATCAACTGTTTCTGCTCAATTCATAAAATCTTAGTTTTTAGGGTTTGAATTTGGACTATCAAAGCCTGCCCTCCATTTTTGGTTGACTATTTCTTAAGCTGAACTGATTAATTCTGCGATTTTCATTTTGTATGATTCAAACGGTTTTAGGACGCCAAACCAGTTAAATAAAATTAGCAAGTCAAATTTGGGAAAGTTTCGGGTGAGTGATTCACTAGTTATTTATTATTATTATTATTATTTGTTTGGTGTGAGCAATCGGCGCTGTTTTATTCCGCTGTAGTTGGAAAGTTGGGTGATTACGATTTTGTGATTAAATTGATGGAAAGTGATAGCAAAGCTTTAATCTTGGGCTTAAAAGTATGCTTGTGGAAGCTGGAAATGCAGGAAGTGTGTGAATTATTTCTAGGAAAAAGAATTTTAGCTATTATGGTTTTCAAATCATTAAGTTAGAAAGTGGCATAGGATAGACTACATGCTATATTTTTCGATTTAAGTATACTGAAAGCTTTTGAAATTTTGAAGCATTTGAATCCAATTGGGTCTAACTTCCTCATTCATTGAATTAATTGGTACTGCCTAGGCTCCTTATGCTTGTTTGATATTAACCGTTGTTTTTTCTACTAATTTGAATTTCATTTCTTTTCTCCCATAAAATGCCAATTCATTGTATTTTTTGTTCCTTGGCTCAGAGATCTCAGTTATGTCAACCTTTGAAGAATTAGTTTGTTTTTGGGTTTTGAAAAAAAGCATGTTTAAATTTTGCTGGGGATTGGGGTTTTGCAAATCAATCAAATCCTATTTGAGGGGAGAGGAGTGAATACTAGTAATTACTCAGGAAACCTTTCAGAGCGAGATAATTTGGAAGCAATAACAATGAGAGCTGAGAAATTTCAATTTTCATGATAGGTGATAAGATATATTAACTGTCATACATATTTGAAGCCATATGAAAGATCTTATCTTGGATTTTATCAATAAACACACTCTATGCTCAGGAATGATCCATCTAGAAAAGGGTGATTGTGGTAGACACAAGGTTAAAACTGGCAATGAAAAGACAAACAATTTTTTTTTTTTTAATCTGTGTGTTTTCATTGATGACACAGATCAGTTCGGAAACTGTGTGTGAAAGAGGTCTAAGCTAGAAAATATGATAGTTGATAAGAGACAAAAAGGAAATGACCAAGTTGTGGTCTTGCTGAATTGAGATCTTGTGTAGTAACCTAAAAAGTCCTACATTTTGATATTTTATATAAAATGGTTGCTCTCGAGTCTCAAACTACCAGTCTTTCGGTGCAAGTTGGATTATATAATTGCCCTAGACCTTACTGAATTTGAGTGTGGGGATCAATTTATATCGTTCATATTCCACTCACAGAACTATTGGCCTTTGTTACAAGCTGTAAGGTGACATGGTCAGCTTGGCTAGGAAATCATGATTATTTTGGTTTTTCTTTAGCCCTGTATGTGTGTGATCTCTTATCCAAACTTTAAATATTATAATTTTTTTTAGACTATGGCTTAAGAATTGATTATATGGTTTTTACAGGGGCTTCCTAGTTGAGAGCAACAATGCTGAAGAATTTCATACATTTATCATGGATGTCAAAATAATGTGAGATTATTTGGGTAGTTGAACAAGTTTGTGGGAAAAAAGGTACGGCTGCTTCTCTTTTCTTTTATGTGTTTATCTGTTTCTATGAACAGGATTCATAAGGGATAACTGCATTAGAAGCCTAAAACTTCTTAATTTTGTTATCTGTGTCCTAATCCTTTAATTTATAACAATTAAATGTCACAACCACTGAATTTTCATATGTAATCGTAAATGCAATATCTGTTAACTCCAAGCCAACTTTGCTATTAATTGCCGATGCCAACATTGATATGGCATGCGGAATAGGCTAACTGTACAGACACATAGTCACTTTCATATTCTTAGGGAGAGACTGAAATATAAAATTAAAACTAAAATGATTCTCGCACATCTGTGGAAATTTCCCATGTTGCTTCATTGCCGCTACCATCTTGGCTAGGGCTTTAATGGAAGAACCATGCTCTTGATAGCCATCCATGGCCCTCTTTCTTATCCTCTGACTTTTCTTTTATTTACTTTCCATGGTCCAAGTCCATCAACTCTCATATTCATCCCTGACCTCAGTTCCACCACAAATCTGTCCGTCTTTGGCGTCATTGGCAACCCGTAAATTGTTTGTAACACCGACTGCCACCTTAGTCCTATCTTTGACTATCTTCAAGAATCTTCAGGGCAACACTGCAATCTAAATCAAATTTACTCGCAATACATAGCAGAGCCTCTGAACTTGAAGCAATGAAGCAAAGATGATCAACCTTTCATCACAAGGCCCAAGATCATTTTTTAATTGCAGGTTTCCAATAGGATTATCGATCACAGTTAATTGCTGTGATGTTAATATTTGGATCCACATTTGGTTGGTTCTTAGAAATTGAAATAGACAATGACATGAGATACACATTGCCACTATGGCTGACAGGTTTATGGTTTCTTTAGAAGCTTCAGCTATAGGTTGGAATTTAAAATTTAGATTGGGTGTTAGGGTCTTCATTGGGACGGGGACAGATGGTGATACTAGGGTTGTGATTGGGAGTGGTCTGGGACGTTTAGAATGAGAGGTTTGCAATTCCAGATTCTTTGTTTGATTTTTATTGATTTTTCAAGATCAGGTGACCGATGATGCAATGCCATTAGCTGACTTTGTGATATTATGACACATTTAGCTGATTTGCATGCCACATCAGTGATGACATTAGTGATTTTGCAGTCAGGTCAACTTGGAGTTAGCAGACATCCCATTTCGGAATACATTGATAAAAAATTGGCAATTGTGACATTCAATTGTTACAAATAAAGTATTAGGACTTAAGTAGAAAAGCTCAAAAAGCTGCAGGACTTATGATGATGTCATCCCAAAATCCACATTGATAAACATTCGCAATGTTTTCTCCATCTTATGTTTTGCTCTAAGAAGAACCTTGATGGAAGTGGCAAGAGAAGAATTGATTATTGAAGACTTGATGGAGCTATGGCTCTAGTTATAGCTGGCTAGGTCAAGGAATTATGTAAACCTAGCTTTGTAATTTGGCTGAATGCTTCATTGACCAATGATTCTCTCATGTTTTTTTTTTTTTTTTGGCATCAATTTTTCTCTACTTTATCGGGATTGAAATGATTGTTGCATGATTACTTCCTGAATTGAATACCATCTTTTGTACAACATTAGGTTTTATAACCCTTGCTTTTTGACACACTATTCTATTATCATCATTTATCTTGGTTATTTTGATGTGCTATTTGCTTTTTGTTCTTTGATACAATCCCTCTATTGCTTGTTGACATTCATTAGTTGTAGTAGGGTGTAACTTTCCAATCTGAAACCCTTTCTTCTTTTTCCTGATTGAGTAAACTATTTCTAAATATTTACCAACTAAGAAAGAGCTTCCCTAATAGGCAGGTGATTTATGACGAGACAAGTGAATATTTCTTTCTTTTCTACTACCATTTGGGGTGATGAACTGCTTCAAAGATCGTGGCAGATTTTCGTTTGCTCTCTTTTTTTTTTTTTTTTTTGGCATAACTTTCCTTGTTTCCAGTATCTAGCTGTGACTTGGCTAGGGTTGGCAGTGGAAAGACCTTGCATGGGTTCATAAGATTTAGATCCCTTGCTCCATCTTAAAGAATTTTGTTGACTAAATCTCTACTTTGATTGAATTCCTTACATAGAGTTCAGAAATTTGGATTGACTTCCTGATGTGATGGTCCTGGATCTGAGATCACGTGCTGAGAATGAAGCATTAGTGAACTATGAGAATCCATGCTTTTTCTATTGTGAATCAAGTTATATCCCCATGCACATCTCCCATTTTGTAAGACATCGTCTTGGTGCGCTTCATCCACTGTCTTGCTTCATCTTTGTCTAGGGAGCTTTTATTGTTGCTTTCCTACATTAAAACTCTATAATTTCTCTAAACAAACAAGTACCAGTAAAAGGAGGTATCATTTTCTAAACAGCCATAGAGGTACCTCTTCCCTTCACTTTTCCAGCACTACATAACACCATGCCTGGCATAACCTGCTTCATGTCTGGAAGAGACAGCAGTACCTGAAACTCTATTCATTACCTCCATGTCTTGTTATAGCCTGAAGCATGAAGTATAAAATTTTGTGGAGTTATACTCTAGGATTTAACTGTTTCTACTGTTGTAGATCAACTTTGAATGCCAAAACATTTGGGGGGGGGGGATATCATAACGACTTATAGTTTTATCAAGCACCATATTTCCGATATAAGACCTGAGCACATAGTGACAATGGGAAGTGTGTCAAAATGCCAAGTTTTAATTACCGTGTGATACATAATGAATATGGGGGGGGGGGGTGGATATCGTAACGACTTATAGTTTTATCAAGCACCATATTTCCGATATAAGACCTGAGCACATAGTGACAATGGGAAGTGTGTCAAAATGCCAAGTTTTAATTACCGTGTGATACATAATGAATATAGGGAAACTATTGATGCTCATTTCAACCTTTGCATATGTAATACAATTTATGGTTTTTGTTAGTTCTGACTGGAGTCTGTGTTTAGCTCTAAAGAATCTCAACTGTAACTATTTGCTAGGTTCTTGATAGTTCTTTCCTTTTTCCGGTGATGCAGGTGTGATGAAGATATCATTGTTAGAAGTGCTTCTCAAAAACATCTCTGCCTTTTTACATATATCAAATGATGACAACATTAGCTCTGATCCAGTTCAGAAGTGCTATCAGAAGGCAGAAGAAATACTCAAGTTGATGAAGCCAATACTTGATGCCATTGTTGATTCTGAAGTAGCTTCTGATGAAGTGCTTAATAAGGATTTTCAAGAGTTGGGTCAATCTGTTGATGAATTGAGGGAGATATTTGAGAACTGGCAACCATTGTCAAGCAAAGTTTATTTCGTAAGTTTTGAACTATATTTTTGTGATTATAGGTGGCATGTTTGTTCTACTTGTAGATTTTCAGGGTGGTGTCAAGCTGTTCTTGTTTTACCATCCTCAAGATTAGTTCCTGTTTGACTTTTGTGTATGCTTTTAGTTTATGTAAGGATATTAAGTACCTTTCTTTATATAGGAATTAGCAACTTGTGATTAGTCATGGTGGCTAATGGTGGGAATGTAGCACAAATGTTTGAAGAATAGCTATGGTGGAGGGTAGTCATGGTGACAGGAGTTCTTGCATTGGTTGTTGAAAACAAGATGCTAAGTTGTTGATTTAACAGTAGCAGATGCATTGTTGGTGGTGTTGGTCTAGTTTATCTGTTCACTACATTGATTTTCTGTGATTGTAATTTCATTTAGAAACAAGATTTTTTTTCTCTGGAACTGAAATGCAATAACTGCAAATGCTGGTAAATAAATGTGCTGGGGACTGGGTTGGAGAAAGCTTAAATTTGCAAATAGTGGAGAGTCAGCAGTGCCATGGAACAGTCTTCACTTTGTTTTGAGATCTCTATGCCTGTGAAATTCCTGGAACCATCCATCTGTGGAACTTGATTAGTTGAAGCTTGGGAATAGTTGTTGTTGCTATCATTATCTTCATCTTTATTCTTGCTGTCGTTTTTTCATACTTTGTGTCATGAAATTCAATACAGGCAACAATGAAGGTTGAAATCTTGAATTATATGCATTACTTAGTTTTACTGTTGTCTTGTTTATGTTTGTCATTACTTGTGCATAATGTATAGAGCTACTTACTGAATATAGGAATAAAAAGATAAGGCCAAATGTTTGCTATCATTTTAAAAAGGGACAGATTTGTTTTGGCTAATCTTCTCTTTTACATGATGTGTAGGTTCTGCAAATTGAATCATTAACATCAAAGATTCGCAATCTGGGCCTGGAAAATTTTCAGCTGTTGAAGTCTTTCCATCAACAACTCCCGGATGAATTAAGTTCATCATCTCTTGAGGTATTTGTCATCAAAATCTTGTTTTAAGTATTTAGCTGCACTCTTGATAGAAAGAGCATAGACCTCAGACAACTATGGACGTGTACTGTTTTATGATTTTTAACAATTGAATGTCTGACTGCAGAACTGCATACAGAAAATTAAGCATTTTGGATATGAGCAAACATCATCTATCATTAAAGAAGTTATAAGCGACCAAGAGGATGGTGTTGGACCCAGCTCTGAGATCCTGGTGAAAATAGCGGACAGCCTGTGCTTGAGGTCCAATCAGGAGATTTTGATTGAAGCAGTGGCCCTAGAGAAGTTGAAGGAGAATGCTGAACAAACTGAGAAAACTGCAGAAGCTGAGTTTATTGATCAAATGATTGCCCTTGTGACCCGCATGCATGAACACCTTGTTCTAATAAAGCAGTCCCAGACATCTAGCCCGGTCCCAATACCTGCTGATTTTTGTTGTCCTCTCTCTCTTGAATTGATGACAGATCCAGTAATTGTGGCATCAGGGCAAACTTATGAGCGCGCATTCATTAAAAACTGGATTGAACTTGGCCTCACTGTGTGTCCCAAGACACGGCAGACTCTAGCTCATATTAATCTCATACCTAATTACACCGTAAAGGCATTAATTGCAAATTGGTGTGATTCAAACAATGTGAAGCTTCCTGATCCCATAAAGTCCATGAGCTTCAGTCAGGCCTCACCACTTCTTGTGCATGCAGAGTCTATTGCATCCAGGGATTCACATGTTCTTCCTCATTCGAGGGGAAACCAGCCAATGTCTCCCGAGTCAAATCGGCCTACTGGTTCACCTGGTAGGAACGTGATCTCCTCCACTGGAATCCATAGAGAGGGAAGTTCTCCACTGCATCCCCGCTCTACTTCTGAGGGTTCCTTGTTAGGTGTAGTTGGAAATGGCCAGGGTTTGGATATTGCGAGAATATCACCATCAAGTTCTGAAGAAAGGTCTGGTAACTCAGAAGAGAGGAATTTGGAATCAATTCGCCCCCGGTCTGCATCACCACGTAGAAAAGAAGTTTCAACTGCTGTTAGAGCTGATGGTCTGCTATCTCAGAACCACAACAGAA